GGAACAGTGACCAATTTCTACATCTTTCTAGTCCAGGTGTTCCTCTGGGGCAAAAGGCGAATCCTGCCTTGAAAGCAAGGCCTGGTTGGGTAGTGGCTGAGTCCAGCCCCAGGTCTAGTTCAACTGTGGAGGGCTTGACCACATGAGGGCTGGAGGAGGAGAAATAGGGGAATGGAATGAGATTTTAAAGGAAGGCAAGCTTCCTACTGATGGCTTCCACCAATACAACTGTTCCGCCTTAAAAGGCAAAGACTTTTTTTGAGACATAGCCTCACTATTGCCCAGGCTAGAGTGCAGTGACATCATCACAGCAACCTCAAGTTCCTTGGTTCATCCAATCCTCCTGCCTTAGCCTCCCAAGAAGCTGGGACTATAGGCGCTTGCTACAATGCCTGACTAATTTTTCTTTTTTTGGTAGAGACAGGGTCTCACTCTTGCTCAGGCTGGTCTCAAACTCCTTAGCTCAAGTTATCCTCCTGCCTCAGCTTCCCAGAGTGCTAGGATTATAGATATGAACCACAATGCCTGGCATAAAAGACAGATTTTTAAGAATTCTGCTTTAGTAAGGAAGAAGATATCATGTATAGGAGGAGTCAGGGGAAGAAAAAACCTGCACCAACCATTTGGACACCATGAGTGGGACCAGAGTTCAAATCCTGGGACACAAGAAGGGTTGAGACTTTCAAACCAAACAATGAAGGGAAAAGCAAATTAGGTATTAACTCACTATGTAACAAAGGTGGTGTTGTATAATTGTTTTGTTAAGTGGTGAATCAAAATTCAGTTTGGCAGGTGCCTTGTGCTGTGGGCCCAGCTCTCTGCCCCCAGTTCTCTAACCTGGCCAACTGCGCTGGGCTTCTCTGGTCTCTGCTCCAATAGCACCTTGGGTTTGGGGTGTGCATTGGCCTGTTACACTATGTTACCCTGGCTTGTCACCTGCTCATTAGACTGAGTGCTTGAGGACAGGGATTAGCCCTAGATCTTCAGCGCTCAAGACGTGCCTGCCCCCGTGGGCCCACACCAAATATTTGAAAGAAGAGTGGGGCCTCAGAGGTGAGGAGGCGTCTCATTTTCCTCTCTAGCTTGTCTTGTGAGCTGTGCTCTCATTCTTACAGCTGTGTTCAGATCTGTCACCTCAAAATCGGTTTCTAAGCCTCTCTCTGAAGTTTCTTTTTCTCTGGTCCTGAGCCTCCCTTGCCCAGTCCTCTATGCCCCCAGCCCATATGGTCCATTGCTGGGCTCCCCATGGCCCCCTTCTCTCCTCTGCAGCCCTTGTGGATTCTTGTCTGGCCTGTCATTGAAACCTGTATTTCTGATTCTTCTTTGTCTCGAGTCTTCCTGAACATTTGCTCAATTTGGTTAAAGTAAGGACCATCCAAGTGACCTCTGCACTGGAGGAGGAGGGCCAGATCCCAGAAGCAGCTTGCACCGACTGCTTCTGGCATCTGTTTCTTCTGTCCTGTTGGATTCATCACTTGGAAGTCATTATTATTCTTATCCCAGGCAACATGAGGAAGGAAGTTTAATACTGATTCCTTGGTTGGCATTCCAAGCCTTCTGTGATCTTGCTCCTTGATCCACCTTTCCCAGTCACATCCTGGGGCTCCCTTTCATGCATACTATACGTTCCAGCCAAACTGGTACATACCCCATCCTTCCCTAGCTCTACCTCTGTTGTCACATGGCCTCCTGCCAGAGTGTGTCCATCCTGCAAGGGAGATGATTTACTGCCCTCCGTGAATTGTACCTCTGGCTGAATTGATTCTTTCAGTATGTATAATTTTGCTTCCCTGTGTGCTCTCCTTGAAGGTAAATGAGGTCTGTGGAAATTCTTCATTGTCTAGTTGGGTGTGCAGCCCAAGGCAGTCTCTGAGGAGGTGCTGGCTGCATTGCTGAGCATTGCATTGGTTTCATGCCTTGCCCGGAACTAAGCCCCTTTCATGCTTTATCTTACTTAATCCTCACAATGGCCCTTTGACCTAGATTCTATCATGTGTATCTTCCAGAGGAGGAAACTGAGGCTCGGAAAGATTAAGCAGCTTGCTCTGGGTCAGACAGCTAGTAAGTGGCAGAGTAGGGTTCTGCACCCAGGCCTTTCTGGCTTTTAAGCACTGTGTTATGTAACTTGAATGAATGAAATAGGTACAACTTTCAAAATAGGACATATAAAAGCCACAGGAGGCGGGGGGGGGGGGAGCGCAGATATGTTTCCAAAGATGCCGCCAATTTAGAAAGAATGCTTCTTTTGAAATTATTTTTTCTGGCAGGTTTTAGTATACCCTTACCAACAGTAGGCCACAGCCTGGGCAGCCTCAGGATTGAGGAGGGGATGGGAAGGCAGGCAGAAGGATAAGGGGTCTCCTCAAATTCTCACACAGCAGTGACTGCTGGGAAACTGACATTGCAAAGTCCCTCATCCCATTAGACAGGACCCTGGAGTGTTGGAGAAAGACAGCAAAATTGTCTCTGTGTTCCTTTTGGACAGAGTCTCTCTTTTAATCTGTGTTTCTTTTTTAACCTCCAAACCCGTAAGGGGTAATGACTTCGGGGTCCCGAGTCCTCTGGGACCACAGAGATGAATCAGTTCATTCAAAGGCCTCTGCTCCAGTGGAAGGGTTGAGACCTATGAGTGAAAATCTTAAGAGTTAATTTGATTCTGAGAGACACAGGGTTTTACTGTTGAAGGTGGGAGTGGGGAAGAAAGCCTTACGGCTCCAGCCTGCAGCCGAAGACCTCGGCTTCCTTAGGTAGCCCCCTCTTTGTTTCTCAGGCTGAATATGTTTTTTAATTTTAATTTTTTATTTTATTTTTATTTTTTTTTTGTTGAGACACACTATTCCCTGAGCAGAGTGCAATGGCTCATATGAATGTCATTCATAGCTCACTGCAACCTCAGACTTGGGCTGGGGTCATTTTTTTGCCTCAGCCTCTGGAAGCTGCTGGGATTATAGGCACTTGCTGTAGAATCCGGCTGGGTTTTCCATTTTTTTTTTTTTTTTTTTTTTTTTTAATGAGTTGGGGGTCTCACTCTCAGGCAAGTCTCAAACTCGGGAGCTCAAGCAATTCTCTCTCCTCAGCCTCCCACAGTACTGGGATTACAGGCGTTGGCCACCGCACCCGGCTAAAACTGAATATTTTGACATCCCCACTCCCCACCCCACCCTGCCAAGAGTTAGCTCAGGACCACAGTTTTAAGACTGCAAAGGGTGCAATTAGAGGCTTTGCTGCCAGAACGGTCTTTCTTTAAAGCACAAGGAGAGCTGAGAGCCGGCAGATATCTCCCCGTGGTGCCTGTCTGGACAGCTCCAGCACTGGATTGACAAAGGGAATAAACGAGCAGATTCTAAGGGATCTTTCAAATCTTGTACTTCAGGTAAGACGGTCATTTAGTTCTCCATAACCCGCGTTTGCACCTGGTGAAACAGACCCTGTAACAGCTGTAATTTGCCCAAGGACACATGGCTAAGGGGTAGTTAGCTGTGGTCTGATGCTGACTGTGTAGAATCAACAGGGAGGTGTGATGGGAGCTGCACTGGGGAGAAGACTGGTCTGAGCTTGAGGGCAGAGTCCTTAGGAAATGTTTCCCTATTCTTGTCGTGGACTTGCACTGTGGACAGATACCAGAGACTACCTTTACTGAGGAGAGGCTGGTGTTGTGGAAGCTATTTGGTCAGATCCCGTACAGCAGATGGTAGAACCGGCCTGGTGTTGAGATGTGCTCAGCGTTAGGGGATAGAAGGTGAAAGAATGTTTTGTGCCTGGTTTGATTACTTTTAAGCTGTGAACTGGCGGATGGGCTGGGCCTTTCAAGATCATAATAAAACTCAGCCCTGGCCAAAAAGAGATCATAATAAAAAAGTCAGAGATTATAAGCCACAATCAGACAATAAATAAAATCATAGATTTGGAAAATGCTATACTCAGAGGGACCTCAGAGAGAATTTAAGGTTTTATTGACAGAAAACTAATGCCTGGTAGGGAAAAAACGTATCGTGGTGTGTGAGCTGCAGAGTTCAGACAGCTTGCTGATCTGAATCAAGCCTGTGAGCTGGGGGCTTTAGTGAAAGAGCAGAAGTTAAATGGAGTAGGTTCATAGGAGGGCAAGACAGTATATTCATCGATATTTCCGAGAAACTTGTCAGGGTGGAGGAGAGTGGCTGGATGAAAAGGGGAATGTTACCTGGGGCAACATTGTTACCAAGGACAATGTTACCTTAGGCTGGGTACTGTGGCTCACGCCTGTAATCCTAGCACTGGGGATGTCAACATAGGTGGATTGCCTGAGCTCATGGGTTTAAGACCAGTCTGAACCAGAGTGATATTCCATCTCTAAAAATAGCCACACGTTGTGGTGGGCGCCTGTAGTCCCAGCTACTTAGGAGGCTAAGGCAAGAGAATCACTTGAGCCCAAGAGCCTGAGGTTGCTGTGAGCTATGACACCACAGTACTTTACCAAGGGCAACTTAGTGAGACTCTGTCTCAGAAGATTGGTAGGGCCTGGGTGTCTTTGGAGATGGAAAGACTTCACAGTGGGTAGGCACGGTGCTCACACCTGTAACCCTAGCACTTTGGGAAGCCGAGGCTGGTGGATTGCTTGAGCTCAGGCGTTTGAGACCCACCTGAGCAAGAGCAAGACCTTATCTGTAATAAAAATAGAAAATTTAGCCAGGCATTATGGCAGGCACCTGTAATCCCGGCTAGTCTGGAGGCTGAGGACAGAGGATCTCTTGAGCCCAGGAGTGTGTGGTAGGCTGATGCCACAGCACTGTAGCCTGAGCAACAAGTGAGACTCTGTCTCCAAAAAAAAAAAAAAAAGAAAGAAAGAAAGAGTTCATGGTGAGGGTAAAGTGATACTGCAGAAGGAAAAGGAAGGAAGGATAATTGTGGAGTGGAGGGCCCTTTTGTCCTTTCTCAGCTTGAGAAGTGGTCCAGAGTTCAGACTGAACTATGAGGCTGTGTTCTTGTGAGCTGACTGCTTACTCTTCTGTCTTACCCTACAGGTGATCGCAGTGGTAATGGATGTCTTCACAGACATTGACATCTTCAGAGACCTGCAGGAAATATGTAGGAAACAGGGAGTTGCTGTGTATATTCTTCTGGACCAGTCTCTACTCTCTCAGTTTTTGGATATGTGCATGGATCTGAAAGTTCATCCGGAACAGGAAAAGGTTGGTGGTCTACTATAATTCTTGCAGTCTCACCACAGTCAACAAATGTAACTGAGCATCTGTGATGTACAAGGCGGGTGGCGGTGGTTTCTTTGTTGATAAGTAAGAGAACAAGCTGTGAGCAAAGTCATTTGCCTTACAGGAAATGAAGATAACTGTTATACTCGTAGGCATCTACCCAAGACAAGTGAAAACATAGATTCACACAAAAACTTGTATATGAATATTTATAGTACCATTATTCCTAGTAGCCAAAGGGTAAAAGCAATCCAGTGTTCTTCAGCTGATGAATGGATATGTTGTGTGGTCATACAATAGGATGTTATTCAGCCATACAAAGGACTGAAGTGCTGATAGGTGCTGCAACACAATGAAGCTGCCCACGGATGCTGAGTGAAGGAAGTCAGTCCCAAGGCCATGGTTATATGAGGCCATGAAGTCTCAAACTGGGAAATCTATAGAGAGAGTAGATGAGCACTGAGTAGACAGGGCTGGAGGATTGGCAGGAAGGATGGGATGATTTCTAAAGGGTACAAACTTTCTTTTTAAGGTGATGAGTATTCTAAAATTGACTGTGATGATGGTCACATCTATCTATGAATAAATGAAAACTACAGAATTGTGGGCTTTAAATGGTAAATTGTGTGATAGGTGAACTATCTCTCAAGCTGTTAAAAAGAAATGGCAAGAGTCTTTTTTTTTTTTTTTTGAGATAGTCTCAAGCTGTTGCCCTGGGTAGAGTATTGTGGCATAATAACTCACAGCAACCTCCAACTCTTAGGCTCAAGTGATCCTCTTGCCTCAGTTTTTTTTTTTTTTCTATTTTTAGTAGGAATGGGGTCTTGCTTTTTGCTCAGGCTGGTCTTGAATCCATAAACTCAAGCTCTCTACCCACCTTGGCCTCCCAAAGTGCCAGGATTACAGACATGAGCCACCGTGCCTGGCCGCCTTTTTTCTTTTTTTGAGACAGAGTCTCACCCTGTCATCCTGAGTAGAGTGCGGTGGCATCACATAGCTCTCAGCAACCTTAAACCCTTGGGCTCGAGTGATCCTCTTGTTTTCGCCTCCCTGGTTTTTCTATTTTTTTAGTAGAGACGGGGTCTTTCTCTTGCTTAGGCTGGTCTCAAACTCCTGGGCTTTCTTTGGCTTCCCAGAGTGCTAGGATTACAGGTGTGAGTCACTGCTGGCCAAGAAATGACAAGATTCAAGATCTGGGCCTCTCCCTGCTACTTTGCTGCCTCCTAACAGAGCCTGGAGACCACCTTAGAAGCTGCTACTTTTGATAGTAGCTCCAGGAGGCTCCACTTTTAATCACAGGGACAAGCATTTATTGATCTCCTACTCTGTTCTTGTTGTCTCTCCATGCTTTTGACAGATGTTATATAACTTAATCCTTGTGGCAGCCCTGTTAGGTAAGTGGCAATGATTTTGCTCTAGATCAGGAAAAGGTGACACAGTCGACAGTCGGCAAAATGCACAAAGAATTTGGACTTTGGTGCTTTAGGTTACTCTGATTTATCACCTTGTTATTATCAAGCCATTTGGTTTGCAAAATTTGGCTGTTTAACTTTTCCCACAGGGTTCTTGTTGGTTGTTTCCTCTATGAGAGAATGGAGGGTTGGGTTTAATGAGGTAGTTACCAACCTGTCACTGGTGCCACAAAGCAAATTCTTGGTGGAGGTAGGATTGGGGCTTAGAGACTGAGCGAAACAAGACAGCCATGTAACCCAACGGTAAATTACAGAATGAAGCCGCGCAGACCCAAGGAAAATACATGTCAGCACAGAAAAAGAGCATTATTCTCTAACCAGTTATTTAGCCCATGACTGCTCTCACACAGAGCCAGGTGAGGAAATTGAAGGGGTCAATGTTTAATTTCAAGGTACTCTTTCTATAATTAAGGCTGTGTCCTAGCAGGAGAAAAATTAAAACGTTTTGGCTGTAGTTTTAAGTGATTGGCTCTGATTCATATACTAGGCAGAAATCTGGGAGTATTTACTAATTCAGTTGCCCACTGTTGGTTGCTGCCTTAATGGACATCCAGATCCTCTGTAAGAGGGTTTAAAGGAGATCTGACTCCCTCAATTTAAAAAAATATTTAATTATGGGTACATAATTGTACATATTTTCTTCAATTTTTATACTGTCTTACCTTCTTGATAGGGAAGCCCTGTCTCCCCTGGTTGCTTCTTTTGCCCAGGCATGGCTGGGTTGCTGAATTTGTGCCCTCATCGTGCAGAGGCTGACTTTCCCAGACATGCCCTGACTCTGCAGTTGGGTCAGCATATTGGGTTGTCCTGTCTGCAGGAACTTGGTCACACACTTGTGTTCAGTGCTCAAACTTGCTTTGGCCATAATGACAGAGCGTACAGCATTTAGGTATGTGCCAAAGGGAGCAATATACAAAACCAAATCTAAGTCTGCCCAGATGGCATTTTTTAGGCTTGTTATTATACACATGTATTATAAGTTGATCCTTTTAAGACTGAGCTCAGGAGTCATCACCTCCTCTACAAAGCTGTCCTCCTGCCAATTCCATTTGTACATCTATGAAATTTTCTAGATTTTGCTTTTTTTTTTTAAATTTTCATTTTGAAATAGTTTAAGATTTATATAGAAGGTATAAAAATAGGCTGGTGTGATTCGGCACCCGTAGCACAATGTGCTCCAGCCACATACAATGAGGCTGGCAGGTTTGAACCCAGCCGGCCTAACTAAACAACAATGACATCTACCGAGGGTAATGAGACTCTGTCTAAAAAAAAATATATATATATATATTGGGTCAGTGCCTGTAGCTCAAGCAGATAAGGCGCCAGCCACATACACCAGAGCTGGTGGGTTTGAATCCCTGGGCCTGCCAAACAGCAAAGACAACGACAACCAAAAAATAGCTGGGCATTGTGGTGGGCTCCTGTAGTCCCAGCTTCTTGAGAGGCTGAGGCAAGAGAATCGCTTAAGCCCAGGAGTTGGAGGTTGCTGTGAGCTGTGATGCCACACCTCTTGTGGCTCAAAGGAGTAGGGTGCCAGCCCCATAATACTGGAGGTGGCGGGTTCAAACCTAGCCCCAGCCAAAAACTGCAAAAATAAATAAAAATAGAAAGATCAGTTGGGTGTTGTGGTGGGCACGTGGAGTCCCAGCTACTCAGGAGGCTGAGGCAAGAGGATCACTAGAACCCCAGAGTTTGAGGTTTCTGTGAGCTATGGTATTGCCACAGTGCTCTATCTCAAAAAAAAAAAAAAAAAGTTAAAGAAAATCCGTAAATAATACAATGAATTCCTGAATACTCTTTGCCCAAATTTTTCACATGTTAACATCTTATAAATGTCAGCACAACTAACAAAATCAGGAAATAAGTTTGATATAATGGTATCTAATCTGTAGATCTTATGAATTTCACCAGTTATTCCACTAATGCCCCTTTTCTGGTCTAAGATCTAATCCATGACCACACCTGCATTTAGTTGTCAGGTTTCCTTGGCTTCTTTTAATCTTTCTTTATCTTTTGGGGTCTCGATGGCTTTTTATTTGTTTGGTCTCTCTCTCTCTCTTTTTTTTTATTGTCCTCAAGAGATGGGGTGTCTTACTGTATTGCCCAGGCTGATCTCGAACTCCTGGCCTTAAGTGATCCTCCCACTGCAGCCTCCTATGTAGCTGAGGCCACAGCATGTGCCACCATGCACAGCTGGGGCTTGAGACTTTTGAGGAATACGAGCCAGTTTCCTGCAGAATAGTGAAGATTTATTTACAACATAAAAATTCAAAGGGAGCTTAGTAAATTTAAAATAGAAACATCTTTATTTTCATGAATCCCACAATAAAATAAGAGTTGATTTTTTTAAATTGTTGATTCTGGGGCACAAGAGTCCTAATTATATGTGTAAAAATATATATGTATTTGGAACAATAAATATATATAGTTCCTTCTTATTGCTAGAGCACATATAAAATGTAGCCATGATGCCAGGTTAGTTTTTCTACTTTTAGCAGAGATGGGGTCCTGCTCTTGCTCAGGCTGGTCTCAAATCCCTGGCCTCAACCAATCCTCCCACCTCAGCCTCCCAAAGTGTTAGGATTACAGGTGTGAGCTACTGCACCCAGCCAAATTCCGACGTGTGATAGTGTCCTACAAGATGCAGCCACTGGGGAGACTGAGAAGACTTCTGGTTAACGTGAGGGTACAAAGAACCAAATCACAATGTTTGAATTTGTTAGGCAGAATCCCTCCTGTAGATATGTCCTGCCCCCAAAAGGTGTGCCATATACTCCTACATTGTACCCATTCAGTGGGAGTACCCCAAGCCCCTCTCCCCCATTTAGAGTTTTATATAAATAGAACTATATAGTGTGAGACCTTTTAAGAGTGGCTTTTCCCCCATCACAATGTCCTTGAACTCCATCCGAGTTGTTGCATGTATCAGTAGTTTGTTCCTTCTTATTGCCGGGTGCTGTCATATGGTATGGCTGTGCCACAGTTTAGCTATTTATCCACTGAAGGACATTTGAATAGTTTCCAGTTTTTGTCTCTTAGGAATAAAGTTGCGATGAACCTTTGTGTGGAAGGTGGACATAGGTTTTCACTGTAGAGGCTCTATAGGTTTGTGGAGGGAATAAGACAAACAAAAGTCTTAAACATTTGAGTATTTAAGATTTCTAACTGTAGCTCCAGGGAATGCAGATTGTCTTAGTATTTTGCATATTATTGTGTATAATTTACTTGTGTCATTTGACAGATAATCATGCATACACGTGCAGTATACGATCCTGTGTAGTGCCAGTGTCCCTTTTTAGTAATTACATATTTGTAGATGTGACAATGCCGATTAAGCCGCATGTGATGTTTCTGCCTCAGCATCCTGTTAGGGAAGGCTCGTCCTATGTTCCTATTCTCTATACCCATTAGGAGGTAGGGGTACATGAGGCTGGGCAGGTATTCTGATGCAATGCTGTTAAACAAAAGAGCAGGAGAAAGATGAGCCTAGTTTGCTTCAGAATCATTGCTTGGATTCTGTTGTTTAGTATCCTAAAAATGTAAGTGTTTTTTTTAGAGCATGGATACAAGTGAATATAGGGAAAGGACATATGAAAAGATGGAGTGAGTAGAGAAGTGGAGTCCTGAGAACCATCTGGCTAGCAAGCCAGGCATCTGCCAACAAGTTTGTCTGGGAATTGTAAACTAGCCCTCCTGTTTTAATCATCTGCTCCCCAGATGAGTGTTGCTGAACTGTTCATCTCTCTCCCACTCCCCTGTCAACAGCTGATGACAGTTCGGACTATTACGGGAAACATCTACTATGCAAGATCAGGAACGAAAATTGTTGGGAAGGTTCATGAAAAGTTCACATTGATTGATGGCATTCGCGTGGCAACAGGCTCCTACAGGTAAGTTCCTAACCTGTCCTTTGCTTACTAATCTAAGCTCTTCAGAAGAAACATGTTATATAAAGGTAAAAATTCCTTTTTCCTCTCAGTGAGAACCTTTATTGCCAATCATTCTGATACATGCCATGCATGCATGTGCATGCACGTGTGCGCGTTGGTTAACAAGGTAGGCATCACCGTCCTGTCACGTGTTTTGTAAAAATAAAATGCAGAAGATAAACTTGTCATGAAGCTACACAGTTAGCAATTCCTAGATTTGGTCCTTGGCCCAGGTGGATGAATTTGGGGTTAACAATGGCACACACAATTCTGAATCCTTGTTCCTTAGGAGTTTCGACCTTACTTGCCCTGCTTATTTAAGGGTAGGAGCATTTGCAGGCATTTGCATCCATGTTCAAGCAAAGCCAGTGCTGTCACCTTTAGACTGAAGTCATTTACCTTGCTTCAAGCTTGTAATTCAGTGCTTTAGTCTAGAAAATACTGATCATGTTTCTGACCACGCCTTTGAAGTTTCACTTTGGCAATGGTGCCTTAAGGTAGAGAACAGGGAGGTTGAATGGCAGGGTGGACATAATGATACCAATCTCCAGAAGTTGTGCCATTTTACTTATGTGGCTCCAGTGATTGTGTGTTTCGCCACTTTTGCATGAGATTATCTAATAGTATGTCTGAGATGTTTGTAGAGTTTTAAAAAGAAAGACTCATTTTTGAAGAAATGTGTGTCCCTGAGTGATAATTATGTGTCAGCCATGAGTAAAGGTTGAAATGCAAAGGTTCAGGGAAGATGAGGTGATAAGATTAAGAAAGCCTTTGATACTTTTCAGACAGTACCATCATTGGTCAGAACAAAATCTGAACTCCTTCGTGAGACTTCCTTTTGTAAGGAGTTTATAAGTGACTGGAAGAAACTATGTTTTTACCCAGAGTACGTTTTATCTGTATTAATGAAACACAGCTCCAAATTGTTTTTGGCTATTCTAAAACATAGAAATAAAAAAAAAATTACCCTCTGCAAATGATACATGCTGCCAATGATAACAACAATAGCTTCCATTTGTTGAGAATGGTTTATTATCCTGATGTTGGGTGGGTGCCTTATTTTAAAAGAATCTTCCTTTTCAGGCTTTGAAGGCAGTTCTCAGGTGACATTTTTTGTTGCAAAAGACAGAGTTGACACTATGTTTTACTATCTCATTTAAATCCTACTTGTACAGATTTCTGTATCACTGCGATGATTGCAAGTGTAAGAAAGTTAACTCAAACCACTTTATGCAAAATGAAACTTATTGAATGGCAGAACTTGGAAGTGTAGAAAGGTGTAGTTGCTTTTCATTTTGACCAAGGAACTGTACATCAATCAGAATACTACTATCTCCTGGTTCTGCCTTTTCAAATCTGATCTTTACTGTCGGGCAGGCTCTCCCTTTGAAGGCCAAGGTCCTGGGTCACTTACATAGCCTTGATCTCCAAAGAGTGAAACTCTTTCTCTCAGTACTGATGTCAATCTCTGAAAAATTACTTGGCCCTGATAGGGTCACATGTCCCCCTGGATGAATTCCGGCATCCACAGGAATAGGATCTCTGGCTAGCCTGGATCACGTGCCTGGCTCATTGCGATTAGAGAGGGTGCAGAAATAAGCTTTCTTGGGTAGGGGTGGGCTTGAGTTCTGATAGCAGAGGAAGGGGAAGGGATTCCTATTTGATGGACGAAGGCCAATGGCCGTAAGTCAGCTCTAACATGTCTTGAGCAATGGTGATTTGTGGACATGGTAGTGCTCGATGATATAATAAGGAGGAGGGCATTAGCAGTTGATAAGGACTGGATCCTGACTTGGGGGTCTACCAGTAGCTCCCTGCTGTGACATCTCTAGCTGGTTTCCTTACCTCTAAAATAATGGTACTGCCCTGAGTATTTAAAAGCCCTTTCTGGTTTTTAAAAACTCTGAGGCTTTCCTTTTGGCCAGAGACGCCATCTTCCAGTAATTTATCAAAATGACAAATTCAAAGGGAGAGAGGAGAGGCACCCGATACATGCTCTCTAGGTTTTTTAGAAAATGTGGACTTGTTCCTTTGGCCACGTATATGCAATCTTCAAGAAAGGTGATATTGTGGACATCAAGGGAATGGGTACTATTCAAAAAGGCAGGCCACACAAATGTTTCCATGGCAAAACTGGAAGAGTGCACAGTGTCACCCAGCATGCTGTTGGCATTGTCGTAAACAAACAAGGGCAAGATTCTTGCCAAGAGCATTAATGTTCATATTGAGCATATTAAGCACTCTAAGAGCCGAGATAGCTTCCTAAATGCATGAAGGAAAATGATCAGAAAAAGAACACCAAAGATAAAAAGGTACCTGGGTTCATCTGAAGTGCCAGCCTGTTCCACCCGGAGAACCAGTGGAAAGGAGCCTGAGCTCCTAGAACCCATTCCCTATGAATTTGTGGCGTAATGGCTACAGTAAAGCACACAGGATGACCAAGAGAACAAATGGAAGAGGAGCATAAGGTGTTGGAACTTATTCCCCATGAAGTCAGGGCATAATAGGCATAGCAAGCTTTGTTACATTCAATGGAAAGGTGCCTCCCTGAGCTGCTGAAACCTTTTCCCTATGAATTCATGACGTAATAGATATTAAAAATAAAAGGCTACTGTAAAAATGTTAAAAATAAACTTTGAGGCTGAGGATTGTGTAGGTTTTAGTGTGTTGGATAAACAGTTGTCCTTGTTCCTTTTACGTTAATGCATATATGTATTACATACACATGATAAGGTGAGTTGAACGCATGCTAAATGGTAGGTATGATTTCACCGAAGTTGTGACTCTTATGTGGCAGGATATCTAGGTATATTATTCAGATTGACGGTAAATAAACGAAAATGGCTCATCCTTACCAGCTTCTGTTTTGTTTGTTTTTAATCCTTAAGTTTCACATGGACGGATGGCAAATTAAACAGCAGTAACTTGGTAATTCTGTCTGGCCAAGTGGTGGAACACTTTGACTTGGAGTTCCGAATTCTCTATGCCCAGTCAACGCCTATCAGCCCCAAACTCCTGTCTAACTTCCAGATCAGCAACAAGTTTGACCATCTGGTTGACCAGAAACCACAGTCCAAAGAGCTCACGTTGGGCAACCTGCTGCGTGTGCGTCTGGCCAGACTCTCAAGTACGCCCAAGAAGAGTGACCTGGAGTCAGAGGTGCCCCCTGAGGATAAGACGGAGACCAAGCGCCATGACTCAGGGTCCTCCACCCTTAGTGAGGAAGAACACTTCAACAGCCATGAGAACGAACCAGAGAGCAGAAAGTCTGCTGATGTGGCCACACAAACAGAGCCAGGAGAGGAGGTGCGTGCAGTGCATGTGGGAACACAAGTCAGCACTGCCATGGCCTGCGCTGGGACCCAAGCTGCAGTCCCCACCAGGGGAGTGAGCTCCCAAACCATGGTGTGGTCCAAGTCGGCCACCACTCAGACTGATTCGGACGAGCACATGCTCTTTACTCAGGGAACCCCATCTAAAGAAGGGTCACCAGTCTCAAAAATGTCTGTTTCGAGATCTTCCAGTTTAAAGTCGTCTTCCTCCTTGTCGTCCCAAGGATCTGTGGCAAGCTCCACTGGTTCCCACGCTTCCATCAGAGCCACCGATGTCCACAGTCCTGGATATCCCAAGTACTTGGGCACCCCCCACTTGGATCTGTACTTGAGAGACTCCTTTAGAAACTTGAATAACGAGCGGCAGTTTCACTTTGCTGGTATCAGGTCCCGGCTCAACCACATGCTGGCCATGTTGTCAAGGAGAACATTCTTGACCGAAAACTACCTTGGTTTTAACTCTGGAAATTTTAACAGAGCACCAGTGAATTTGCTTGCCATTAGAGATATAACACTTTATCCTTCTTACCAGTAACTGCTCAGGGCTCAGACTCCTGGGCTCAGCCAGGCTCGACATCATCAAAGCTTCCCGCTTTAAAACATGTGTCCCTAATTGCCTTTCTTTCCTTGACTTGTCTTTGAATTCTGCACATTATTTTACATGCTTTTATTTTTGTCATGTACAAACCAGGTATTGGTTTTGTGGTTTATGGGTATAGTTTATTGCACAGTTTTAATACAGTCATGCACTACATAATGATGTGGTAGACCACGTATACAATGGTGGTCCCATAAGATTATAATACTGTATTTTTACAATCCTTTTTTTTTTTTTTAGCTTTTGGCCGGGGCTGGGTTTGAACCTACCACCTCTGCATATGGGGCCGGTGCCCTACTCCTTTGAGCCACATGTGCCGCCCTACAATACTTTTTCTATGTTTAGATACATAAAATACAATTGTTACAATTGCCTGTGGTATTCGGCATAATAACATGCTATCCAGGTTTATGTCATAAGGCCTAGGTGTGTAGAATGGTATACCATCTAGGTTTGTGTAAGTACGTGTCATGATGTTCACATAACAACGGGATTGGCTGAAGACACATTTCTCCGAACTTATCCCTGTTGAGTGACACGTGACTGTACTGATGTCTCTTAGAATGTTCAGGTGTTCTAAGGTCAATTCAGGTAAGAGATGGAATATAGTTTTTGATGTAATAAATAATTTTATTATAGGAAAATGGAATAAAAACATATACACTCCCCGGGGTTATCCCATTTTATAACATACATTATGTTTCTTACAGTTACAGTGAGCTCAAACACAGTCCTGCACTGTCCTGTTGCCTCCCATGAGGGCTCAGAACTGCAGTTTCATCAGACATGAAAGTTCCCCAGTAAATTATCATGAAAACTGAATTTTCATGGAGAATATAGGTAAAGGAAAGGCCTCAGAGGGTAAGAGAGGGGGAACTGAGAAAACTATATGTGGGGGAGCTTTATAAACGTCACGGGGGCTCACTGTTGCATTGTTATCATCCAGAAACCCCCCAACCTGACCCTCAGGCTTCTGCACTTACTGAGCCAAGGGTGGGGAATTGGTGGCCAGACTATAAAGAAAACAGCAAAAATGCATTCTCTGAATCAATAATATTGGTGTCTTGTGGCCAAGAATCTTTACAGACTCTTAGAATCCAGCTGGAAGAGTGTTGTCACATCCACTTTCCAGTAATGCTTGCCGGGGGTGAAGGCCTAAGCTCCCCGTAGAAGCAAGGGTCCCTGCTGTCTTTGTCTCCCGGGGGGAACCATGATCCTCTACAAATCGGACACTTCTCAGGTCCTCACTAAGTCTTATATAACAACTGGCCATTTCCACATTCAGAGGATCCTCCACTCTGAAGTTGTTCAGCGTGTCTGGGATTCCAGTGATGCCCCAACACTTGAGCTCTGGATTCAGAGCCCCACTGGGGCTTTAGTGTCTGTACCAACTCAGTTCGTCCCAGTACATTTCCCAGGTCCTGCAGCAGCTCCAGGTCAGGCTTGTGGCATGTCTGTCAGCTCTCTATACATGTCTCATCCTTTCTGGTAGGTCATTCTCCATTGTCTTTGAGTTGACGGAAAATCTTCCCTGCCTCTCTGTCCAGCATCTCCAGATGTAATTACTCCTCCTCATGGAGAACTAGATGCATCTTCTGATAGTGAATTTTGATCACTATTTTCCTCAAGGCCACGTAGTCTGTGAATGAATGAGTTTTGCTGGTTTCCTGATTTAGAGGGCTTTGTGCTTCTTGCGTCATTTTCTATAAAGAGTCCATTTTCTTCACAAGTTCCTCCTTGGACTGCTCAGCAGCCCATTCTACTGGGCAGTGGCTGTGAGTCGCGTGCTCTGGTGCCTCGGAGCAGGACCCACAGAGCAGTGGCTTGTCGGCCTCACAGAAGAGCCCCTTTACCTCCATGTGTGCCCCACAGATCTGCTCTTCTGAGATGTGGACCTGCTGAGGTCCCACCTGCCTGGCAAGGGAAACCAGCTTTTTTTTTTTTTTTTTTTTTGAGACAGAGCCTCAAGCTGTCCCCCTGGGTAGAATGCTGTGGCATCACAGCTCACAGCAACCTCCAACTCCTGGGCTCAAGCGAGTCTTCTGCCTCAGCCTCCCAAGTAGCTGGGACCACAGGCACCCGCCACAATGCCTGGCCATTTTTTTGGTTGCAGCTGTCATTGTTGTTTGGTGGGCCTGGGCTGGATTCAAACCCGCCACCTTAGGTGTATGTGGCTGGCACCTTAGCCACCTGAGCCACAGGGGCCCAGCCGGAAACCAGCTTCTTGAGTACTTAATTGGTTTTGAAGTCTGCCTTCTCTGATCTTTCCCTGCACTGAGGGCAGCACAGTGGGGTCTCGTCCCAGCAGAGGTAGGGGCAGGGCTGGCAAAAGTTGGGCCCACAGTCTATGGTGATAGGGTCTATGAAGTAGTTCATGCATAAAACGGGCAGGTGAGTTCATTCTGGAGGGCTTCCAAGGTGTCTGAATCCACGTTTCTCAAAATTAGAGTCGACTCTTTAAGTGCTGGAAGTTCTGACAGGTCTGTTGATACCAGATACCAAGGTCAGCAGTAACTCTTGACTCTCCAAAGCCCCGCAGCCACTAGTTCGGGCGGTCTTTTCTGGAGAAGTCCTTGAGATGGAATATGTTTTGCATTTATATTAATTTGTGTGCTCTTCTGTTTTAGAGGTCTGAATCATCATTGTTTTTATGATCTAAATCCAGTTTAGAAAAAGAAAACTGTATCTTAATTGTTTATCACTTTAGAATATCTGTGTTCTTAGCATTAAAAAAATATGAGGAACTTTTAATTGCTTGAGTGCTTTTTTTTCCTTTCTCTCTGGTACTTTTTTCTTTAAATCTAGGAATGTGTCACACATAAATGCACCTTTTAGATACCTGTGCAGGGTAGGGAAGAAGTAGATGATCCAAATAGTAAAAGGGAAAATATATTCACTTAAAAGTTAGAAGATATAAAGCTAATATTGGAGTATACCTTCATGAGCAGTTTGAATATTAATACTCCTCTATGGTTTGAGTGAGAGAGCCGAGCAGAAATATCAGGACTTTGCATTTGCTCTGGCTTTTCTCTTATTCAAAGAAGAAGCCGGAGCTATTTCTATTTGGACCATGGTTCTCTGCTTCTTTGCCAAAGGAGGCTGTAGTGTACATTCCTAGATTCATCCCTGATGTTAACTCTACTGGCCCCATGGGCCTCATTCATCAGATGGGTGTACAGGCAGTGATTTAGCAATTTGATTTCCTAAAATAGAGGCAAAAGAGGACATGCCAGTTATCTCAGATTCCTGCTCCAGTGGCAGGCAATGTGACTGGTTTCTACACCCTGCTAATCAGACTGGAATCCTGTTTTTGTCTCATTCACATGGACAGAAGGAAGAGAGTTATGATATATCTTATTCCTTCTTTTGACTCAGTTAGAGCAAAAGCAATCTACATTTTGAGAGATTTAGGAAAGTTGAATAGGGCAGGGAGTTGGCTGCCACCTAGAATGCTGACGGGTACTGATGCTCTTGCACTCGTACATATACGTCGGGACTCTCAGGATGACCAGGTCATTTGCTGGCTTTGTGCTGTCATCTCTGGCTGTGAAGCAAACATAAACTGGTCCATGTCTGGATGTAAACAACTCTGGGCTAAGCCTTGAATAAATATATTGTAGTTTGGAATCATTTAACAGATATAGGCCACTTCATTTATTTTTTTAGAAACAGGGTCTTGCTTTGTTGCTAGGCTGGAGTGCAATGGCACAATCTTAGCTCAACTTTACTTATTTTTAGAAAGCTCATAGTAACTTTAATCTGTTGGGCTCAAGTGATCCTCCTGCCTCAGCCTCCCAAGTAGCTATGACACAGGTGCCCATGCCTGGCTAATTTTTCAGTTTTTTATAGAGATGGGATCTTGCTATGTGTATGCTTGCTGAGGCTGGTGTTGTACTCTTGGCCTCACAAAGTGTTGGATTATAGGAGTGAGCTACTGTGCCCGGCCCTTAGGTCACTTTATATGTGCCACCTGTGATCCTCACAATATAGTAGAGACCTATGCAGGTTACACAGGTCTTATTTCCAGTTTTTAGATGAAGAAACTGAGGCTTGCTCTTCCTGTACTCAAAAGTCCCCCCACCCCATGCTCCCTTCTCCTTTGTTCCCTAGAGAAGCTCCACCCTGGCTGGGCCCTGTTCTTTTTTTGATCGTGGCCAGGTTTGAACCCACCACCTCTGGTATATATGGAACCCGCGCCCTACTTCTTTGAGCCACAGGCACCACCCAGCCCTGTTATTCTTTTGGTATTTTTTTCTTTGTTTCTTTAACTAGCATATACTCTGGGTTTTAAAAATGTAAATTGCATCATATAGCTCTACCCTGGGCTTTATCATTAAACAGAGCTTTCCTGAAAGCTGGTAGACATAAATTATATCGAATTCAAGTGCATTTCCTAGGAATAAACGAGTGTTCACAAGATGAATGTGCACAATAAATAACATAAAATCGGTTGGGCCCAGTGGCTCATGCCTGTTATCCTACCACTCTGGGAGGCCTAGGTGTGTGGATTGCATGAGCTGAGGGGTCCAAGACCAGCCTGAGCAAGAGTGAGACCCGCCCCCCCCACCATTATCTACTGAAAAAAAAAATAGAAAAACAAGCTGGGCATGGTGGTGCATGCCTGTAGTCCCAGCTACTTGGGAGGCCGAGGCAAGAAGATCACTTGAACCCAGAAGTTTGAGGTTGCTGTGAGCTGTGATGATGCCATGGCATCTGTCTCAATAAAAGAAAAATACATAAAAAAGAAACTGAGGCTCAGATTAAGTAGCATATTAGAGATCATGTGGCTTATAAATGGTGACACTAGAATGTAACACAGGTTTCCAGGTTCCGAGGTCAGTGCTGTTAAACACAGCTGTCTGTACGCAGTGTGGAGTCATTGGGGAGTGTACCTTGAGAGGGCAGTTAATGCACTGGGGACTGGAAAACAAGAACTT